TCTCGCTTTTTTAACAGCAAAAATGCATTCTGTGTGAACGCAGCCGTCTGTGTAGGCAGTGTGAGTGAGGATTGCTCACTAGGTATTGCCGCAACCAAACACAGACAGATGTATTTTGCAGGATAAATTCCACAAACGATTGTGTGGGAGTGTTCTGGTTGGTTTCTCTGAATCCTGGGATCTTCAGGCACTCCAAACCTCAGTCTCTCAACCACTGGAAACTGTTTCCACTGGAAAGACCGATAAGACAGAACCAGGCCTCGGCTCTCCAAGGACTCCGTCCACCTGCTGAGACGGTGAGATCCTCGGTGTGTGTCTTGGTCTGATCTGAAGATCCAGACCTGCAAGACAAAGTCAAATCCACAGTCACACATTCATAACTCAGCACTGATGCAGAGGAAACGAATTGCTCAAATCAAAATATGAATACAACAATATTTATCCAAAATAACACACACATACAGCAAGAAAACAGAGGATATTACTGCAAACAGACTCAAATTATAGTTTTTGCACTACAGATCTTCTGGTTAAAAATAAATGGTGAACCAAAAATGGTAAAAGTTTGTCCATGTTTACTTGTGTTGTTACTCGTGTTGTTCCAAGACTGTAATGATGACAACGCCACTATATTTGGGACATTATAACCAAACCCAACCAAAAATAAATGTGCATTTTTCTCTGCAGACATCAGAAAATGTATTGAAAACTTGTAAAGATCTCATTTCTTCTCTAAATGAGCAGGGCAAATAGAAAACTGCACCTTAAGGTAACACACAAAACGGAAAATGTACTGACATTTTTTTGCCATTGACTACAGCTTAACTGTCACTCGGCTTTTTATTGCTTTTTCTCCCATCACATATTTTAGTAATCATCATACATTTGAAAACTTGAAATTTCAAAATTCATCCCGTTTTTCAATTGGACATTGCGATACCATAGAAGCAGTACCTTTAACTCTTTTACCAACTCAATTTTTGTGATATCAACTGGTTATACATATGGCCTTGAATTTCTAGCAATTTTAGAGTCCACATTGTTTAAAAAAATTTTTTTTTTTTAAATCTAATTAAAAGTGTTTCATTCAGAACATTTGCTTTACATTCAATTCAATTTCTATAACATTTTTACACTAAGCTGCTTTCACATAATCTGCACAGTGTCTTCTTTAAAAAGGGACAAACCTTATGTCTCAAAGCATTTATGAATTTCAACCATTTAAGTTCAGATCTGCTCGGAAAGGGGAGTGCAAGTTAACAGGTTAACCCTAAAACACAACACAAAATACATAAAACACCAGTGAAAAATCAATACGGACATTTCCTTCATATTAACAAAGTACATTTGTTTACAGTGTACGGGCAAAATATAATAATGATAATAAATAAGTCATTAAATAAAAGCTTGATTTCAGACAGAAATGTGAGCTGGACAGAATTGGATTGAAGTACAAATGTGAATTTGGGTCAATTTTTGTCTGAGATGGATGGGCTAGTTTATCTGAGTTCAGCACAGATTTTCATAAGTGACACACACGCTCCTGGATTTGTGCAGACAGTCACAGTAGTGTTTATGAGAAGGCTTCAGATTAGGTTCAATGGAGGTTCTCCTCCAATCAGAGGCGGTGTGATAGACCGCACCACCGAGACCAAACACAATCACACTGAAATATGGATTCAATTTAGCCTTCGGCCCCTCCTGCATGAATATATATCAGTTATATTAAAATCAGAACAGCACAAAGTGATTCACAGAAAACAGCAAAAGTATTTGAATGGAGGAGAATGGAAGCATCTGCCGGTAACAAGATGTTTATACAGGTCGCCGTCTGAGACTGTTAGCGAGCAGCTTTAGCCTGAGCTTTGCATTACAATTATTGTTTATTGTCAATCAAAAGTGAAGGCAATGCATATTCAATCTGCCGTGGCAGGACATCATTTCACTCTGACTTATGGCCTGTTATTGATTTCCTAACCAGAGATCTTATTTCAGCACATAAATGACACTGGGGTTGTTCTCGCCGTTTATTTCGCTCCCGGCATTGTCAATTGCTTAAGCGAATGTAATCATGTTTTCCTGCGAGGAGAACCTAGTGATCTGCCACTCAACACACTTAAAACGAGTGGCGAAAGAGGGACTGGAAATAGATGTCAGGCACAAGATTTGGTCACATTTGAGCCTGAAGGATCTAAAAAAGAGTTGCTGATGTATTGTATAGTGAGTGGTGAACTGTAAAGGACGTGACCAGAGCAGTTTAATTCCTCTGAAAGCCACGTAAAACAAGGCAGATCCTGTCAGATCACCAGTACAAGAAAACAAGATCGTACAGTAAAACTGTGACCCGTAGGAAAAACATTACAAAATTCTAGTATTACATTTATAGTAGGCTATATTAAATTGTTTCATTAAAGTAAAAGAAATATGCATTTATTCTTGGTTTACCGTTTCCTTTTCTGCTAAATAAATAAATAAATAAAATATTATGGCCTACTTTATTCTATAGTGGGTCTTAGCAGTGTTACTTTAGTTATATTAAGATTTTGAATTTCATTTTAGTTTAATTTTCATTTACGCCATTTTAATAGATTTTATTTATCATTGCTTATTTAGGTTTAATGTATTTTTTTAACGTAAGTTTTAGTTTTTATTTATTTCCAGTTAATAATTTTAGTGCTTAAACCTAAACGTTTCAGTTTATTGCAAAGGCAACATATCTCTTTTTTTGTTTAGTTTAAAACTGATTTTTAGTTAAAGACATTTTTAGTTGGTTTTAGTGACCAACTTAACCTTTAGGATGAACTAGGTTTAGATATTTTCTACCTCTGGTTTAAATAGAAAGTCACATTTAATCTGCTGCCACTTCTATATTAAGCCTCAATAAAGTCTGAGTGTAATTAACATGAAGAAAAAACATTTTTCCCAGCATCCTCTAATACATAAAGTCACTTGTCTCATGGAAAACATATTTTGCCAAATGAACGCCGATGCACAATGAAGCATAAAACTTATAACTTTGTGTTTATTCCATTTCTGACAGCAGTGTGACTAAAGTAATACTAACTAAAACAGAAAATATCTTTTGAAGGAAAAAAAACTAAGGTTATCTGAAGCTCAGCCTGGAGACTCTGATTGAATTTGATCATGAAATGGCTGAATATGACCTTTCCTTTCAAAGGGAATCTTCAGCTGGATTAATCAGGTCAGATGTTGATATGTACCGTGGGAAACTGGCTCAGGCGGGTATTAATGTCACGACGTTTCTGTGACAGTTTATCTCGTTCACACGTTCTTCAGTCCCGGTGACCCAGCAGCAGAAACACCTCAAACACATTTACATGGTCTGTATAGACATTGTATAGACTACACAGACATTATCAGGTCTCATTCCATCCTGTTTGAGCAAATTGCACAAATCAGTGTGATATCAACATGGTTAAATATACCTAGTAATACAGTAGTGGCTAAAAGTTATATCTGGAGGGGGTATTTGTTTTAAATAATTAAACCATCAAAACATGAGGTGTGTGTGTGTAATTTTATGAGGAAAGAACAAAACGTCTATACGACTGTAACCCTGAGAACAGGGAACGAGACACTGCGTCAGTGACGCTATTGGGGAACGCCCTCCACGTGAACCGATGTCTTAAAGCTTATCCAATCACGGCAATCGTATTGACCGGCGACAGCCTATGACGTCACTGTAGTGCGACCCGGAAGTATAAAAGGGCCGCCTAGAGAACATGTCATCCACTGTTCAGCAGGCATCCCTGAGGCATGGCTAGCGACGCAGTGTCTCGTTACAGTCGTAACCTAGACGTTCCCTTTCGAAAGGGAACTCGCACTGCGTCAATGACGCTATTGGGGAACGATGTACAATCCCGCCATGCTGAGGGGAGTGCATGCCAGATTATGGCTGTGACAAACGTCAGAAATGGGAGTTTCACTGAAATGCCGTTAACGGTCTTCTATTTCAATCATCATCCTTTTGAAAACAGCGCCTTTTCAACATGAAGTTATAACTATAGTGTTTGAGGGCGGGGCAAATAAGAAGTTTTTTGCGAGAAGCCAATGAAGACCACAGCACAGACGGGCATTATGCACATTTTTTTTTGTTAGATTTTTTATGTATGTAGGTGACAGCATAATAGGGGCACTTTTTAAAATAATTTAAATAATATTTGAATAAAGGGCGATGTCAATGTTCCTTGGCCAGACACCAATTTTGGCCACAGTATAACTGTCTTAAACAGAAGTATGCCTATAAAATTAAAAACACAACCATATTTTTTGCAGAGTACAGAATATTCTTCAGGACAAGAATGACCCATGCAACGAACACCAACACTGAACCCCACCTAGTGTGATTTGCACGATTTCCTTTTTTTAGATGTTGAATTTTGCATGTTTAAGACCATAATGAACATCAGAATTACACACTTAATCAGACTAGAGCAGTCGTTCTGACTGGATGTGCTGCAACAGTGACCTTGAACATACAAAACGCCCTCCATCATGTTTGCTCTCAGTGCATAAAAGATGCTGCATTGATTATGCATGTATGAGTCGATGCAATGCTTTGCTACTTTCAAAATATTTGAGTAAAGTGAAAGCTGGCAGCGTTTATGATGCAAAAATTCCATTGAAATTCCTCTCCACACGTCATACTGAACAGATTAGAAATCGAAGTGCAGCTTTTCAGGTTTTAAGGACTTGATCGATAAACTTTTGAGTCCTTTTCAATGAGCAATGAGTTAATACTGTAAACACAAACTGCAAAGAACTCACCTCAGACTCAACTCACCTCACTTTCCAGAGAGCGTTGACTTATTACACATTAGCCTGGAGTATCATCACAAACAGCAGACAGGCTTACTGCATGATGTCATTTCAGCAAAACAAAAAACAAACTATATATATATATATATATACACCACATCTGCTAAAATTAAATATAAAATGTATTGCTGCTTGTGGTTTACAAAATAATACAATAAAAATAAATGAAATGTTACTTTATTTTCTATTGGGTCTTGAATGGCTACATTGCTCTGGATTAGCATGAATCAAACAAGAGCCACTTTACAAATACATACATTAAGTTTATTCAGAAGTCAGTAGTGGATTTGGAGCAGTCAATGCTATCGATATGCACACTGTTGCTTTTATGTGGTTTATACGCTTGATTGGTACAATGACTTTTAGTTGTTTTCACTCCAAATGAGAAAGAACAACATCAAAATCAATAAAAGAGATATGTAAGAATACCTTTACTGTCCCTCTCTTTAGAAAATCAACCCTTTTTGGATAAAAATGCCAATTATTTATATAAACTGCATATAAAAAAACAAACATAAAATGTACTTTCAAGAAAAGCAATAAAATAAAATCATATATACAAACCTCTGTACATAAATGTGTATATAGTGAGGATAAAAATATGTAAAAATGAGAGAAAGAGGAATCTTTGACTATGACCTGGTCATGTGTCTCGATGATAATATGCCTAAAAAGCATCTTCCCGACTACGTTCCTGCCTAAACTATAATTCATCTTTAGTTTTAGCTAAACATGCACCATCTGCCAAAAATCCCCAGAATTCCCTGACTCCAGTTCCACTGCATCTATATTTGCTGTTGTCTGGAGTGATTTGAGATCTCGGCTTGGAGCGCTGATCCGGCAGTGGACACACAATGATCAGCCGTTATGAGAAGGGCTGAGGTGAGCGATTCATCATGCCACACTGTCAGGGATGTTGACGTAAAATCGTTGGAAGAGGGCCGATGTGGATGTCACTGCCGTCTTCTCTTACTGGACGATGCCCGAGTCGATGGAGGTCTGCTTTCTCGTGGTCTTTGGAGGTGGAGGTGGAGGGGTCTTGCTGGGTAAGGGGGGCGGAAGGTGCTGGAACAAGGAACAAAAGAGAAGTAGAGTTTAAGACAAATGCAGTTTTTCATTATATGAGTCACTGATCTGCATCCTGAAACACACCGCTCAAATAGTGCAGCTCGTCTCTAATACACTCGCCATTACATTAATACAGCCGTTCCTTTCTTCCTTTCCGAGTCAAGACTGATAATCTGGTCTCTTGATATGAAGATGTTTGAAAAAAAAAACAATTGAATAAATAAATAGTAATTTTATATTTTGTTAATTTTCACATATAATAACAAAATATATATATAAAAAAGAATCTCTAACCTTAAGTAACTATGAGTAATAATAATAAAGTGATAGAGAAAATTAAACAAAGAAAAAAGAAAACCGAAGCATTGTATATACACTTCCATTCAAAAGTTTAAAAGAAACGAATACTTTTAATCCGCAAAGATGCATTCAATTGATCAAAAGTGACAGTATTTTTATTATGTTACACAAGATTTCTGAAATAAGGTCCAAATAAATGCTGTTCATTTGAACTATCAATTTATCTAAGAATCCTTAAAAAATGTATCATGATTTCCACAAAAAATATTAAGCAGTTTTCAACATTGATAATAATCAGAAACGTTTCTTGAGCAGCAAATCATCATATTAGAGTGATTTCTGAAGGATCATGTGACACTGAAGACTGGAGTAATGATGCTGAACATTCAGCTTTGAACACAGGAATAAATTATGTTTTACAATATATTCACAATATTACTGTTTTTACTGTATTTTGATCAAATAAATGCAGTCTTGGTAAGCAGAAGATACTTTTAAAAAAACATTTTAAGAAATCTTACCAACCCCAAACTTATCAACTTAAAAAATAATATTTTTTTCAGACTGCAGTCGTACAGTACAGAACTTCAAACGGTTTCAACCTTTAACAGTAATTTCCCAATACTTCTAGCAGCTGCAGAGAAGTTCAGGTTCTGGGTTAATTAAAGGGTGTCGGGGAGAGAGAGAGAAAGAGAGAGAGAGAGAGAGAAAGAGAAGAGAGAGAGAGAGAGAGAGAGAGAGAGAGAGAGAGAGAGAGAGAGAGAGAGAGAGAGAGAGAGAGCAACAAAGACCACATAATCAAACCCATCAACCTTAAATTTAAAAGCCACATTCAATTCATCTGCATCTTTCTTCAAAACCATATAAACCTGACGTCTAAAACAAACAACATGCTTAAGTAGCGGTGATTTACAGCCAAACGGGATCTTTTTCATTTGGGACACTACTTTACCATGCCTTGAAAGCTCTGCTATCAAGAGTTCATCTTTAATGAACGGGGGAACATTAGACAGAATAACTCTTTTCGCCGGTTGAAGCAGCGGCATTACGGGAGTGAAGGTATCCTGTATAACAACGCCATTCTGAACAACACTATTAACTTTTTCAACAGTGTCTAGAAAGACAACAACAGCGCTGTTCATGCGAGAAGCAGATAATATGCTATCGCAACCAACAACGTCTCCTACAGCCAAAACACATTACTCACAGGCGCGAGCTTGATACCGTGTCTTCGCGACAACCGGTCCAAACTCACGCGTTCTGAGGACGCCATTGCCACCCAGCAAACGCCGGATAGCGGCGAAATTCGTGCCACCTAAAACCTACCAACCTATATTAACAATCGCAAACTCACACTTAAAAAGATTTTTAACCAGAAACAGTAAGAAAGTTAAGAGAAAGAGAGGAAAAAAAACAACCTCACTCACACCAGCAGTACTCTCACAGCAAACTCCGCCCACTCACTCACAGCATCCGCTCAGAGAGAGAGAGAGAGGGATAGAGGGAGAGAGAGATAGAGGGAGAGGGGGGTTGAGAGAGAGAGAGAGAGAGAGAGAGAGGGATAGAGGGAGATGGAGAGAGAGAGAGGGATAGAAGGAGATGGAGAGAGAGAGAGGGATAGAGGGAGAGGGAGAGAGAGAAAGGGATAGAGGGAGAGAGAGATAGAGGGAGAGGGGGGGAGAGAGAGAGAGAGAGGGATAGAGGGAGAGAGAGAGAGAGAGAGAGAGAGAGAGAGAGAGAGAGAGAGAGAGAGAGAGAGAGGGATAGAGGAAGAGGGAGAAAGAGAGAGGGATAGAGGGAGAGAGAGATAGAGGGAGAGAGAGAGAGAGAGGGATAGAGGGAGAGGGAGAAAGAGAGAGGGATAGAGGGAGAGAGAGAGAGAGAGAGAGAGGGAGAGGGAGAGAGAGAGAGAGGGAGAGAGAGGGAGGGAGGGATAGAGAGGGAGAGGGAGAGAGAGAGGGAGGGAGGGATAGAGAGGGAGAGGGAGAGAGAGAGGGAGAGAGAGAGGGAGGGAGGGATAGAGAGGGAGAGAGAGGGAGAGAGAGAGGGAGGGAGAGAGAGGGATAGAGGGAGGGAGAGAGAGAGAGAGAGGGAGGGATAGAGAGGGAGAGGGAGGGAGAGGGAGAGAGAGAGAGGGAGAGAGAGGGATAGAGAGGGAGGGAGAGGGAGAGGGAGAGAGGGATAGAGAGGGAGGGAGAGGGAGAGGGAGAGAGAGCGAGAGACGAGCGCTTTTGTTTTCCGACAACTGGCGATCCCAAGAGCCGAACAACAGAAATAGACTTTAATATGTAATGCTGTCATAAATTATAGTCATTTTCGAAAAGACAGGTATTACAGTTGGTACATATTCTGAACCGTGTCCCTTAAATGTCCGTCTAGTTCGAACTTGCGACATTTGCTAGCAACTGCTCTCTCCGCGGAAGCTTTGCATTTATAGAGCTAATAAAATATCTTGACTCAGATCGATATTTCATGTCTAATTATTTACTTATGTGGCAAGTAACCGTGTAATAAGCAGGATAATATACATCCAGCCGGTTGTTATCTCAGAATAAACCCCTTCAGGTTCAAGATGCAAGACCTGATCACCCTGTCAGGGTTTATTCTGAGAGAACAACCGGCTGGATGTACATTACCCCTTACATGATCATGTCAAAATAATGGAAATGATGATCATGCAATAAATGTCTTTATAAACATGCAAGTCTTTGACGGATGTTGATGATGCGTTATACCCGCGGGTGTGGCGGTGGTGGAGGGGGTGTGGTCGGACTGGCCAGGTCTGAGTTGTCCATCAGGTTTCCATAGTCACCCATGCTGCTCTTGACAGGAAGTGGGGGCGGGGTTTCCCCCTTATCTCCATAACCCGTCCCATTCAGCTCTAGATCTGCAGAGAAACAAGACAAGAGTGCTGTTGAGATCCGCATCACGATGCATGAAACTATATATCTGCAAACACATCAAATGTGTCTACAATTGGATAAATAGGCTTGGACTTGGTGCTTGTAACCCAAGGACAATGATGACACCAGAATAAAAATATTCATGATTCTGAAGCTGAAAATACAGAATTATTTTAGACGAATATGCTTGCACTCTTTCACTGACTAGATGCATTTAAAATAATGTCGGCCACTTTTTACTGGTAACATCAGACATCAGACATTATCAGGACCCACAAATATTCCCCCATTGCATTATTATACATTATAATCAACATTATATATAGTAGTTTAATGTAGTACTTACACTAAAACTCAGAAAATTTTTTTCTCACACAGTAATTTTTATTTTGGGGGGACTACCCACGATGCATATTGTCACTATCGACGATACGTACTGTTGCATTTTTGTATTGCAATATATTGTGGCACGATATATTGTTACACCCCTAGTGAATATCATTGTATTAGATAGCAAAATATTAAATCGATCAGAATTTACTCAAAATAAAGGTACAAAAAGCACAGTTTTCAAGCAAAACATTTTTACTAAAATAAGTTTCTTTGCGAAACAGATGAAAAAAAGTAAAGTTAGTAAAGTGCATTTGAGAGCAGGAGATGTTTCATGCAATGACATTCAGAGATTTTTACTTGCGACTCTTTTGAAGTATTAAATGCAATGTAAATGTGATATCTGCTGTTTGAGGAGGAATGTGCGCTCATTTTCCACTGAATAATCGAACACAGAGATGACGACACACAGTGCAAACTCAGGATTCAGACAGTGGGCTGAACCCATGGGAGAGTAAACGCCTCGCAAAGCCTGAATCCATTACACATCTTCACAAGCGGCGAGTGGGAGACTGGATCAGACTCGCTTTCATGCGAGGGATTTAACACTTCTCCAGAGTTTCACATCACAACATTACGTTTGTGTGGCATCAGACTACAGCATGTTAGGCAGCATATGATGTCATATATCGGGGGTGTGGCTTAAAGTTCACCAAAAAATGACAATTCTGTCATAATTTACATTAACTAATACAGGTTTGGAGTAAATGATGACAGAATTTTCATTTTTGGGTGAACTAACCCTTTAAGTTGGGAAAAGGAAATCCCAGTTACCACAGTTATTCATTTCCATGAGGAAAATGAAGGAAAAATAAGTTATTCATAAAAAGAAAAGTACTGTAAAAGATCTGGATGTTTTTTCTGCTTTGAATAAAGGCAAACAACAAAACTTAAAAGATTTGTATTAATCTTTTAACAGCTATTATTAAAATAAATGAAAATGAAAGTGTCACTGCCATTCAAAAGTCTTACCAAACGCAAACGTTTGAATGATAATGTAAATCAGACTGAATGACTTGGATAGTAGTCAGCAATTTCCACTTCTAAAATATAATTTTATGATTTATGTTGATTATATAACATCAGAGGACACTATGTGATGCCAAAACCAGTGCTGCTATATTTCAGTAGATCAAGGTAATTGCACTTTTATTTAATATTTAAAATATGTAACGAAGTCTGCTGGTGTTCAGATGTGTGATTAGATATCTTGCTGCTGACTTTCTTCTTTGTGTCTTTCAGCTTCCTTTATTCAAAGGATTGGCAAAACAAACCTTTGTGGATTTTGAACTACATTTAAAGGCACACTGTGGAACTTTTGGCCACTAGGGTGCGCTCGACCTGTAATTTTCACGTCTAGTGCCCCTAGAGGCAACAAGCGCCGCAGCATTGTCGCAAAAGTCAACAAACAGTCAACCGGTCAACCTCCCGTGTCTGTATGTGTGTGCAGACGGCATTTGATTTGTATGTTGGAGAAAGTTAATCGATTCACTACTGACCAAAATATTAATATAAATATAAGATTAATAATATAAATCCTATAAAGAAAACAAATTGAATAAAAGTAGCATACGCAGAAAACAATGTCTGATCAGGTAAGTCGCATTGACAAGGGTTGCCCAATCCTGCTTCTGCCGATCGTCTGTCCTGCACAGTTCATCTCCAACCCTAATCAAACACACCTGAAGCAAACAATTAACGTCTTCAGGATCTCTTTGCAATGGGTTGGAGATGAAATCGAGTAGTCGGGAAATCGTGTAACAAAACTGATATAACTCACGACATATTTCCGTTATTTGTAGTCTTCAGTTTGTTTTTCCTTTTACACAAATACAAACATATGAGCTAAAAAAAAAAAAAAAAAACATTTACATTTGTATACGGCAGTATGTTGTGACTTATATCAGTTTTGTTACACGAATTCGCAGTAAATATTACATTATATACACTTTTATGCCGATGTTTATTTTAAACTCTCCCTTTTTCTTTTTTTGGTCTCCTCTGACAAAATCTTTGCTTTCTTCGCTTTCTTCCGAGTAGCTGTTGATTCAGCCATGACGACAACATACAGACGCCGGCAATCAAACGCGAGTTGAGCTCTCACGTTAGAATTTGAGGAAGTTGGGGTGGTGGGGGAAGTGACGTATGCCGTAAAGCGGTCGAATTTTGTAGTTCTTTTTGTGCTCGGGTTCCTACCCGAAACCCGAAGTTACATAGTGCTAGTAAAAGCGATACAGACACCTTCAGGCTTCGGCAGACGTGTCATTCAACCTATTGTAAGTCGATGTACCATCTCAATGGGTTTTGGTAATATATTATAAAGGTTGAAAAGTTCCACAGTGTGCCTTTAAATGTTTTGGAGTGTTTTATTCCTAAAATAGCCCAACCTTTTTTTTAAATTTAAGTTACTTTAAACTACCATAACCATTTCTTTTAATCTCCCACAGGTGGGCGTGGCTTCCTTGCCAAATATCTATCCTAGCTTGCTTTAGCAAAACGTGCCTAATTTCATCATATTTCAGAATTAAACTTCTAGGGGGAATGTCAGATCAGTGTGATGTATGACACATACTGGATCCAGTCAGTAAGCTGAAGTGCAGTTTGACCCGGGGGGTGATGGGAGGCGGGACGCTGGGCACAGACGGGTTGGCAGGGGCTCCTGGGGACACAGAGAGTCTTTTCTCACCCAGTAAGTTGATCACCTGACTCTTCGGCCTCTGGGGCCTCAACGGACTGATCTGGAGAGATGAAAATATGACAGATAAATACAAGAGAGTGAACCGCTGTTTCAAGGAATCGCTATTCAAGGGATTCAATATATCAGGACTAAAAACGACGACCATAAAAACTGTGTAAGTGGATATAGACACAATGATAACAGTGGAAAAAATGATTTGCAGCTGAAGAAAAAAATAGTAACAGAGTAAAGAACAGCAATTCAAACAGCTCGGGTCCATTTACATGAGCATACAGGTTTATTTAATGCATAATTCAGCAGGCTTATGAATTATTCCAGTTGTAAATGCCCCATCATTAATGTGCGATCAGTAGAATGAAGTTCACATACAGGATTCAGGAAGCAGAATAAGTCACTCTGAACATGCCGACATGTTTAAACCTACAGTCTATGGTTTAAACCTGCTTTTATTGAACACTTTTTGTACAGTCTACAGTGGCAAATGTTTTTTAAATTTAGTCTTTAAATGTTACATTCTTCTCTGACTAAAGTGGATTTCAATTGAGTGAAATAACATTTATGGTTATGTGCAAAATGATGAAAACGTGCATCAAAATGTAACATCGAGATCAATGAAATTACTATAAATAGATTCAAAATTAATTTTTTTAGCAGGAAGATATTATTTGGCATCAGACGAGGACATTAACAATAACTGTTAAAGGTAAAACAAAGTAAAAAATAAAAATAAGCAGGCGGGCTTGTTATCAACATGACAGATTAATTAAGCAGCAAATCAGATTTATCCATTGAATTGTAGAGGTCAGCGGCCTTATGAAAGGGTCAAGGTCATTATGATGATGTATAAAAGACAAAGCATCCAGAAGGTCCAGGGCAGAGTAATTACATGCGCTAGTTTTCTTTATTCAGAAGCGTAAGGTGATGTGCTTCTCTAACAGTGAAGTCTGTGAATGGCTCGATTTATTCTTATTATGTGCTGTTGGTTCTAGAACCGCTCGGGGTCATTTGGTGCTCATACTCAGAGATTGAAGAGACTTGCGAGTGCAGATTCAGATTCAGCCTCAAAAAGAGGCTTTTTTAGGAACGACTGATTAAACGGAAAGCAGGCAAATGATAGTCTTTCGGTTTACAAATGGTTTCTATTTCTGATGTAGTAAGTTTACTTTCAGTGGCTTGATAGTGGAAACTTGTCGTGGCAGTGAATGATGCGCAGTGGAAGTCCGTATTTGCGCATGGATTTGGCACGGTTGTGTGTTTGTATGAACAGATACTCACGGTCTCTGACAGTATGACCGCCTCACTCGGCTGCAGGGGAATATCAGCGGCCTTCAGTTCCTTATCAAACAGCTCCTGGTGTTTACTGTTCCTCTTCTCCTTCTTTTTCTCCTTCCTGTCTTTCTCAGGTTCATCTCGATCCAGTTTATCCTGGGACTTACAGTGCTGCTTCTTTGGTAAAAGAGGCTCCAAGGCAAATCTATCCGATGAAAGAGAAGAGGAATCAAATGAAAAGAGGAGTAGAGATAATTGAGCGGCGGGTATGTTTTATTGGATAAGACGGCTGGGCTGTTTAATATTAGAGAGAAGCCTCTTATGAAGTCTTGAGCAAATATTAGCACTCATTTGACATTTAGCTCCAAAAAGCACATTTCTGGTGTACAGTATCTAGTGTCATGGCAACCAACCATATTAGTTAATTTAAAATAATACATTATGTTTATTTCAGAATCATTTTTTTTTATTTTATTTTTTACTGCTGGCCCTGTTCTTAATTGTCCTTCCCTATATTTCCACAGGCCTCACCACAAATGTGTCACAGGCATTCCCACAGATTTTGTGCTCAAACTCAAAAGTGTGCACACATAAACCTGCTTCTCTGAACTAAATTGAGTTCTTTTAGCTGCTTATTGCACGTAAACAGTCAAATAAACACAAAATAATGTCAAAATACCGGTCTTCAAGTAATCACAGTCAGTTATGTTTTAAGTGAACGTGAACAGTTTAGAGAAAACGCATGTGTAACAGTATAACGGATCCATGCGTCAGGTCTTAAAGTGACAGCAGCCTAATATACCTGCTGCCAACTTATGAGATATTATTAAAAATATCTATATGGCAGTTTTCCCCCCATGGTATCATGTCAAAATTGTGGCTAGTAAAAATGCTAAGTGGCGGGTAACTTTGGTTTTAAACCTTTTTTAATTTGCAATGGCAGCTGGAATATAATATTTAACAATATTCAGCTATAATACAACTATATGGGCTATAAATTACTCTGTAAAGGAATAACATACAGTGATCTGTTTATGATTTAACACAGCCGAACTGATGCATGAAAATATTTCTGTAAGTCAGGTAACCGACGATACCTAACTAAAAATCCGCAATAAGTGTTTAATAAATCAAAGAAAAGCAAATGTTTAAGTTTGCAAAGCCCAAAAGCACATGACCGATGAATGAATGTAAGATGCAGCAGCACCAACTCGAAGCGCTCTCACACCGGCTTCATCCTGATCTGCAGTTTCACAGACTAAATGAACACTACAGTAAGCATTACAGTTAGCACAAATGTACGTGAACCTAGACAGCTCAATTCTGCAAAGAAAAATTGAATTGTAAATTTCAGGTTCAAAGCTCAGAACAAACTAGTTTCTTAAAAATGCAGTGATGCTGGAGAGAAATCATACACCATCCATGCAAAAGCGAATATCTCCACTTTAAAGCGTGTGTGTGTGTGTGTGTGCATCATATCTGCTGACCTGCCCGATAATGAGACTCACAGGCAGTTTTGTAAAGCGGAAAGCAAGGAAAAGGGGAAGCAGAATGTCTGGCTCTCATAATCAGAATCTTGGGCTCAAGCAAATCAAAGTGCTTTAATGAGATGGATTAACTAATCAAATGAAAGCTCTTGTGAAGTGGTGCCCTTCACAATTAAATACTAGCGGAGGGCATCGCTGATAGAATCGCTCTCTTCAAACACGCACTAATTAATCCTTCAGGTTGGCATCTGTGTGCCTGCCACGCTAGACTGGCACCAACCTTTCAGGGTGTCAGAGTAAAGAGGCCGAATAAAGGACATGTATTACAGTGATTTTAACACAGGTAAAAGGTTGACTTGGGGTGACAAAGTGGTGTACTTAAAATAAATGCTGTAAAATCACTGAAACGCATACTGTCCTCAGATCTGTTTTACACACATAAACCCGTCTGATCTGATCAGCTGATTCTGTATGAACTGATGGAACTTCTCAAAGCGCAGTAAAATGATCTTGGAGGCACAGCAGGTGCTGGACATGTGACGTGATTCAGGTGCATCTGTAAGCGTGTGGATGAGAACAGACCGCCCACAGAGAGACAAGATGGAAATGACAAAGAGCGGGAAAGAGATTACGGGAAAGAAAATAACACACACTCCAACCTATGAAGTGTTCCTGTACTAGTCCTCCAACCGCTGAAAGAAGAAAATAAATCATTGTCAAGAATCCAGCCAGTTTAATAGAGGTCTGAATCAATGGTCTAGTAATAAGAGTTTTTCCAATGCCTGATCCTGATATCTAGCGTAGAGAGAGATTTATATTCTTCAATTTTGAATTAATAATCCAACAATATATGTGTGTGTTGGAAATAAGAAGTAAAAGTTTTAATCTCAGACACTGATCCAGACCTATGATAAATGTATTCATTTATTTGGTTATTTTGTAAGTACTGTGATCAAAAATACAGTAAAACCAGTAATATTGTGAAATACTATTAACATTTAAAAGTAATGTTTTATATTTGAATATATTTTAAAATGTAATGTATTCCTGTGATCAAAGCTGACTTTTCAACATCATTACTCCAGTTTCCAGTGTCACATGATCCTTCAGAAATCACTCTAATATGATTTACTGCTCAAGAAACATTTCTAGGTTATTGTCAATGTTGAAAACAAATGTGCTGCTTCATATGTTCTTTACAGGATTTTTTACAACATTTATTCAAAATAGAAATATTTAGTAAAATTACAAATGTCAATTGTCACATTACTGTCACTTCTGATTAAAATTTTGATTTTTGATCAATAATATTTACTATATACAGCATAGTATAAATCTCTTTCTCTTCCGGCTGCTCCCATTAGGGGTCACCACAGCAGAATTATCTGAGGTTTTATGATGCACTTTATAAGTATAAATAAAGGCGAAATATCTGCAGATATATTGTTCTTTCAGTCTGGATCATGTGTGTGTGTGTGTGTGTGTTTACCCGTCTGATCCCGGTCTGGAGGGTGAGTTGTCTGATGATATGGAGGTCACAGACGCGACGGACAGTGGCCTCTGAGACGATGGCATGGTGAATGACCGAACCATTGAACGTGGCCGACTGCCCCGCCGCTCGTCTGACATGGGAGGCTGAAACACACAGTTCAAATATATGACATGAGAACATCACAGCATTTCAACAGGTTTTTTAAAGAAGCCATATTCTACAGCTGTAGCATTTACAAAGCCAATACTTGCACCAAAAAGGTCAATTTAGTTTATGAAACATTTTTTCCCTTTCTGACACATTGGGTCTCATTCATGAAACATTCGTAAATATACGAACTAATATGCGAGTGATTTGCGCGTAAAGAGACCTTCCCGAAAACTCTTCTCCTGATTCACAAATACTTCGTAAACGTCAGATGTGATAGTGAAATGTGTGTGTGTGTTAATGAATTCCAATCAGTCGTAAATGGGATGCGCGTGCACGTTCATTCTCAATTACCATAAATCCCGCCCATTAAATCCGACTGACAACTATATATGGGCATCATATTATGACATGAATGCGAATGAAAAAAAAAATTCTCAGATGCAGAAATTGAAGTTTTATTATCAGAAGTGCATTCAAAATGCCACATTTTATTTTCAAGCGTACATAGTGGCGTATCGGGTCCTAAAAAAAAGGAAGCTTGGCAGCATTACAGATGCAGTTAATGGAGTTTCATCTGTTAATCGAACATTCCCAGAAGTGAGAAGAAAATGGTTCGACATTAAGCTTGAGAGCAAAAAACGAATTAGTTCACTTCGGAAAAATAGTATTCAAACTGGAGAAGGACCACCATCGCAGATGCCATTACTGGCTCTCATAATAAGAAAAACAGTATGTAATTACTATATATAATATTTTTTCAAAATGCTGTGCAAATATGTACCCGATTAAGGTGAATTAAAATGCAGCCTTAGTTATTAATGAGCAAAACGTTCGGGTGTTAAACTCACTATTTACGCGTAGCTGGGAGCAGGAGTAGATTTCTTGTGTACCAACTAACATTTGGAAAATACGAACATTTTAATGAATCCGAAAATTTACGCCAGAACCACTTTACACACGATTTACACAAAAATTCGTTCTGCTCGTGTTTCATGAATGAGACCCATTAAATGTAAATGACCCCTGTTGTGACTGATAACATCTATGAGAGTATAAATGTCAATATACACATTTTTCAGACCACTCCCTAGTTGTTTCCACCAACCAATTTTTGTGTGCATTTTGGGATATCGCATAAAAACATACGCTCTAAATTGAGGAGGATAATTTTTTTATCCATTAAGAAGACATGCGCATAAACTACGTTGGATACACATTTACCGATTAAATCCCTCGATGTGCAACAAAAACAGAGGGGATGATTGGATAACTGGACTAACCAGCGGACCAATCACATCGCACAGCATTCCAAATGTTGGTTTGGTCATTCTGAAACACCAAAGTCTGTCATCAGAACGGTTGAGTATAATAAGCTCTCTTTGTGTTCCCAAACACCAGGCACTCTGAACGCAAGACTACATGACAGTGTTTATTTTAGTCATTTATGAAGTAGGAAAAAGAGCAACTTCAATTATTATTACAGAATACAGATATGTTGTGCCAATTTCCCAGGAAGTGCCAATTTATCTCTCTTGAGTACATGAGTTTGGATGATTCCTGCGGCACATGGGCCAAACTCAGTGAGTGTGTTTTTGCTCATCCTCAGGTTTCGTTTCCCCTGACCTCTTTCTATGTGTGAATCTCTGAACATTTATGTGTGAATATGAACCACTCATACCTTCCTTATCTTGCTCCTCTCGGTCACGTTCGCCCTGCCTGCCCTTGAAACGGATATGTAGCGCACATCACGTTCTCAGACTTTCACACACTGTATAGGAGGCATCGCTGCTAATTCTAGCACTTTCCCAGAGCGCAGTGATCAATATCTGCCAGCTACAGTAACTATCTGTCTCTCTCTCTCTCTCTCTCTCATGCTTTAGATCTCCTTTTCTACCTGTCTTCCATACTCTTTTGTCCCCATCTCTCATTCCCTCCTATGGACTCCCATTATTCTCTTTTCAGTTCGTCTGTCCAGACCGGAGGAAAGTAGCGATTCTTTACACTAGTGTGTTTAGAAATGTCTTTGTCACAGTTACAAACACACACATTCACTCAGTGTGTCTCAAAATACAGCTGTGTGGAAACTTTCCAATCTCTCGCTCTACTTTTCCTACATTCATCTAGGATAAGGTTCCTGGCATCAAATACTGTAAAAATGCCACAGCCAAGTTGCTGAAAGCTGAAGAGTATACATGTAAATGTTTATATGTAATATTTGCCAGTCAAATGTTAATGAGTATATGGTTATTATGACATCAAATAGCATGAAAGAGCATGCTATAGTCTAGTACATCAAACATTATTTCTGAAGAGCAATACTATATGTGATCATATCATGGAAAACGGAATATTTAATGCATCACTCATCAATCAACAATAGCATTAAAACAATTTAAAAACTATAAGTTTTGCTACACAACTGATTTTCTATAGCATCAGGATGTGAATATAAATAACACTCAGTAGAAGTGTTTTTTTTAAAGAGACTCATCAATCATACATTAAAACTACTATGCTATATTAAGTAATTTATCTTCTTTATAATAATAATAGTTTTTTAAAGTAAATGTACCATTGACTGACATGCTTCTTTGTCAGTGCTGTTAGACCTACTTAAAGTTAATGACTCTCAATAACACTACCGATGAACACATGATTACGTTAGGAAGGTATTACAAAAATTACCAGTCTGAAGACAATTTTGATGATAAACCATCTTAATGTGATTAACAACATATGGATTAAACCACTGGAATTAATTTAAATATATAAATATTTAAGCATGTACATGGACATTTTCTTACTTCAAATAACCATTTAAAGTCCCACTCCGATCATATTTTGAGCTATTTTTAAACATTCCCAGTGGTCTTTAAATTACGATTATGCCATTTTTAGCCAAAATCACAAAACCTGTGCCGTTTTCTGGGACTTCGCTTCAGCAGAGCGGCAGTAGCTCATTAGCAATTCGCCTCTGCGTTGTGGGCGGAGCCGTTGGCACGGAGACGACCCTCCCCCTGCCCGTTGCTGAGAGCTCTGTCTCTCCCGCTAGCTTACACCCCCAATACCGGTGGGGCAACAGTATTATACACGTTAATTATTATTATCCGAAGTTAATCAAAGTTATCACCGATCACCGATCACTATTTCACTCCAAGACGTCGCGTGTGGAGACGCCCAGTGGAGTTACTACGTCACAACTCCAGTCGATTTTAGCCGGCATTTTAGCGTCTGCTACTGATTCACAGCCATTTGAATGTAGAAATACTCAGAAATACAACTTTGAGCTGATTTTTCTCAAGATATGTCCTCTAACATCAGAAAAATGCCACAAGAACATGTTAACACCTAGAAAAACATTATTTTCATCGGAGTGGGTCTTTAAAAGATGTCCCGTTTTCCTAAAAAAAAAGCTCCTCACCAAAATAGTAACGGTTTGCCATATTAATAATAATACTTATTAATTAATTTTAAACAAAAAATTTTCTTAAATAGTTTAAATGTACTAGTTTTTACACGCATATATTTTAATACTGTAGAATTATGAAGTACATTATCTTTTTTTACAGATTTTTTAAATTAGCAAGACAGCTCTTTTAAAGCAACTCACAGCATTTAACACCGTAATTGCACAATGACCCATAATCATCTAATAGCTGCTATGACTTGCTTTTGCTATTGTGCTTTTCACAATACATATCATTATTAAGCAGCTTATCATTATAAAGCAGCATATTTCAATAACAATGCCTTATAATCCTCAGTGAGCGAGTCAAAACGGGGTCATAAGGAAGTAAGGAAGAAACCATGTGTGGAAAGCAAGTCCCAACACCGACTGGAGGACAAATGCAGACAAACATGCAACACATAAATCAGACAGAATATGTAGTTCAATGATTACTGAATGCGATCTGCTTGTATTGTGAGGTAAGAGTCCATCCTGTGGTAATGTGATGCATGCATACGAGCTGTGATGAGGAACATCCATGTTTTGATGATTATTGCTGAATGCATGAATGATGAGCGATGACTACATGATGGACGATGATTATGGCTGAATGAATGATGAAGGCATGATGCATGATGTTTCTGGCTCAAATGGTTTGGAAAGCGAGTGTCTGTTTGGACTCACTAGTGTTCTGACACCGTACTGTTTCTCCACCTTCTCTTTGAGCTGTTTGAAACATGCCTCCAAACGCTCGTGAAACGGTCGTAGGGCCTCCGTCACCTTCTCGCCGTGGATACGAACTCCTTCAGCCAGGTTCGGGATCTGAATGAGATGCACGCACACACACACACACACACATACACAAAGCAAAGATGTTAAGCCACAATGTTAAAGGGCTCCTATTATGCTTTTTTACATGTTCATCTTTCTTTAGTGTTTGATGTTGCTGTTTGAGCATGAAAAAGGTCTGTAAACTCACTCCACAAAGGAAGTTTTTCTCTATATCAGTGTCACTGAACTCCCTGAAACTCCATTGTAGTCTTGAGTTTTCTTCCCGGAACGTAGAATAATGAATTTCTTCATACGCAGAATAAAGGGGCGGGGCTTGGTTGAGTTAGTTAGTAGTGTGTTGAAACTCACGGTTATGGTAAGGGGCGGGACATTTTCCAAACACGCTCAAAGCGCTTGACCAATCACAACACACTGATCCAGCCGACCAATCAGAGCAAAGTGTGCTTTTCAGAAGGAGGGGCTTCATAGAGACAGGAACTAAACAGAGCGTTACTGACAGACAGGGAAGAGAGGAGCCGCAACAATGGAGAATATGTGAAAAAACAATGTTTTTTTTTTACATTCCAGCATGAAAACCTGTTCTAGTAGAGCCCAAAAACAAAATCAAGACTGTAAAAGTGCATAATACATCCCCTTTATAACAAAATCACAGCATTCACCCCAAAAGTCAACCTTACTAATCAACTAGTTGTTTATTATGCCTGATCCACCCCTACTACCCATGATGGAGTGAGACAGAACCTGCGGTTCTTCTGGACTGATTTACTGAAGCCTCTCAGTTGCCTGTGAATCAAGCGCAGTGATTCACCTCAGCCTGAAATATCACTTTGAGGTTCAATTTTCTGTGTCTTCTACATAAAACCTCTGGTCTGACAGACACATAAAACAGGAAAACAGCCACTAAAATACCATTGCTGGGTTTATTTGCAAGCCACAGTGAAAGACATATCATATTACACAGGATTTAAAACAAACCTTTGTACACAAGCATTCATCACACAAAGCACTGCGTTCTCTCGTCTACGACTCAGAGTCTCCTGCTAGTCTGAATGTACAGAGAGAAGCAAAATGCCTCACAATCAGACGGATACACACACACGCACACACACTGAACAGCTCAGCTAATTGCAAGGAGAAGTGTTGCTGTCTCCAGACATTAGGAGAGCATGAAGTCAGAGTAAATCAGAGAGCTATAAAGATGAGATATTTCTAAATAAAGTCCAACTAGGTTCACGTTCAACTGATGCAATGCAGTGCAATGGAAAAGAGCACTTTCTCTGACATGTTCATCAAGTAAAGACATCAACCTTCTCTTCAAACTTTTGAAATGACATCTCAAAAGAAAAGGATAATCATTTTTTGCTTTACTTATGAAAGTACAGAAACATACTCTGCACAGCTGGTAAGGTGTTTACACTGCAAAAAGGGATTTTCTACCTCTAGTTCAGTTAGTTTTTGCTTAAAACAAGAAAAAAAAAAACCACCAGTTTAATTATATGGGAAAACATATTTATTGTTCTGACCAGATTCTGGCAGATTCTGGTTTTAAGCAAAAACTTACTGAACTATGATCCATTTCTATCTTATAGCATTTTGTATCTTAAGTAATTGTATCTCATTGGTGTATCAACTGTATCTTATGAATGTTTAAATATTGCTACGGTGCTCTGGATGATTGGCAAGTTGGTACTATGGTGTTGCAGAGTTGCGGAGGTGTTTGCATTGACTAGATTAGTTCCGCCACTGGGAAACATGTTTGACGGCCCGTGTTGACTGACATTTAACTAACATGACCATAACTGCCGTGAAAGAAAAAAAACAATTGCAGACGAAGACGAAGTTTATGCTAATTAATTCTATGGCGCCCTTTAGCCTTGATTAGATTCACAATATAAAACAACCTCTTCAAATTTACTGCGCAATTATATGGATGTAAAATTCACATAGAGACGCACGGTTTGTTCAGAGACAAAGTGCATTGAGCCTCCTGCAGTCCAACAGTCATGACATTACAGGAGAGAGATAGAGGATTCCCACTTTAATAAGGGTTGTTAGCACCGCAGGGAATTTCTGAAGGAGACAGAGATATAGACAGATAGAGCGAGAGAGACAGAGCAGCGCTTGTGTCTCCAGGGAAACCCAGACCTTTATAAAATGATCACAGTGACTGAATTCTGGGTAGGCAGCATAGCAACAAAACTGCTTTAAAAGGAGGCTGCCAAATCACACAAACACAACTACAAATGCACCTCATCAACTAACTTTGACTGAAAATAAAACAGATCAGCACATATGGACACACAATGAATAATTCAACACTCAAAGGCAGAGCACATCAATGCTTTCCTTCAGTTGCAACATTTGCCTGTAAGAAATTATAGACCAAGGTGCTGAAAAACACCCAAGGTCTTGAGTAAAAAGTTTTTAGTAATCCCAAAGACCTTGCTGATCTTATATAGGTGTGTTTGATTAGGATTGGCTTCTAACAAATACATCTTACTAAATGTTCTTTTAAACTTAAATGTCTTTTCTGCTATCTGGTTGTAATGGCATTGCTAAGTGGTTGTTAAAGCGATACTCTACACAAAAATGAAGCTTATATCTTTTACCTACCTTCAAGTTGTTCCAATACTGACCGTCCTCTCATTAAAGAAGATGTATGTTTTTCTCCATACAATGAAAGTCAATGGGCTTCAATGCTGTTTGGATCCCAACGTTTTTCAAAATATATTTGCATGTATGTATAGATTTAAGCTTGTAGTCTATTATATCTTTATTCTATATAAACACATTAAAAAAAAAAAGTCATATAGTATAAGTCTATACAGCCAGCGTATCTAAAATAAAAAATACTATTAATCTAAATAAAATAAATAAATGGAAAAATTGTGTCTTGTGTTCTGCTGAAGACAAAGTCACACAGTTCTGGAACCTCATGTGGGTGATTAAGTCAGAATTTTCATTTTTGGGTGGAGTTTCGCTTTAAGATGTTCTGGTGTTTTTAGAATGTTGCTATGGGGTTGCTAGGGTGTTCTGGTTTTCCAAATCATTGCTATGTAGTTGCGAAGGTGTTCTGAGGAGGTTGCAATAACTGGTTCAGTTGTCCTTGTTCTATTCATGATGATAGCAGACACATCTGCTTATTAAGATTGATGTGTAGGACTCTGTAAAAGAAAAATGTATTTATGGAAAAGTGAAATTGGAGCATTTATGCACTTATTATAAGTGAAGTGCACTGGAGACATCTGAGATTGCCTAAGTTCATCTGGAGCTCATGTACAAGACTAAATTCTTCTGTAAGTGTCGACACACATTTTCATTACATGGGTCAAGTAACCCAATTCTGATTTTTTTCCTCCAATGTGGCACAGATCGGATATGAACCACAAACGTGTAAGCAGGAAAAAAAACACATGGATTCCAATATTCTCAGATCGGTTTCAGGCCTCATTCATATGTGGAAATAATCGGATACGTGCATTACATCTGTCATGTAAGTGGACAGATCGGATACGTGGTGAATGTCAGCAAATCAGGTGGAATACAACCACGATCACATGACTCTTCTCAATGGCACAATGAAGGACGAAGGCTCAGCCAAATGTTTTGCCGACCTTTAAGAATGACACGGAAAGCAAAAGCTTGTATTATCATTTAATCTGCGTTCAATGCAAATCGCGCAGTTTTTACTTCCTTTTCGGCCTAAGCTTTTCTGGGTCAGTACGTCTACCCAGCCGTTCTCATCCTTTGGCGTCATACATGTGACGCTTTGTACATTTCGTTGAAATCTTACGCACATGGCATCCTTTAGCATCAATATGAGACGCAGAACCCAAGGCGTCATACAGATGACGCGCATCTAAATCCAACGCACATGGCATCGTTTAGCGTGAATATGAGACGCAGATCCCAAGGCATCATAACCGTAACCCTACCCCAGACCTAAACCTACCCATAACAGTGTGTGTTATATTGACGCTAAAGGATGCCATGTGCGTAAGATTTCGACGAAATGTCATATGGCGTCACCTATATGACGCCAAAGGATGAGAATGCGTTGGTCTACCTTAGGTTGTTTCGCCAAGTGTCTAGTGTTTGCAGATATCGGATATGGGTCACTTTTAAAAGCAGATGTAAGCTAGACGTCAAAAAAATCAGATATAGTCCAACAAAAAAAAAATCAACAAATCGGAATTGGGCATCAAGACCTGCAGTGTAAATTTGGCCTTAGTAAGTGGGACGTGATTGTTTTTGCACTGTTTATGACAATGCAAGCCCCACATATCTGGCAATGGAGAAATGAGTGCTTTCACTTTTCACATGCATCACCGCACAATCCTTCAACACAGCGCTGGACTCCCACTGTGAATTGCTTGTCATTAACATTCTAAGCTCACCAGGTCCTCATGTTACCTTACCAGCTGAAGTTCCCGCACCTGCTACAGTAAAGTGATTTTACTCAGTGCAAAGGACACAAGCTAGCATGAATGGAGAAGAACAAACACCAGCACCTGACATCTGTGAATAACAGCTCTGGCTCTGTGAGAGGGCAGCACATTCCCACAGATTAGCAGAGCCGCCAATAAAAGAGACCAGGGCAGTCGGCCCAAACGGCACAGAGAGGTGCAAGCAAACTTGATCAAAAGCTCAAATCTGCAGGGGGATTGTCCTGCCTTTTCACCGCTGTTTCACATGTTTGTTATACTGTAAATAATGATATTTGTGGTAAGATGGCATCAACGCATGTCTGAGAAAACGCAGGATAAGATCAAGCTTTTCTGAACTGTTTCATGCCGTCTCAACCATTGATTTGTGCAACTCAGCTTGACGCCCTCTTTGTGGAGGAACACGGCACACACGCAGATCTGCGTCTTTAAAACACATCTCAGGTAAGACAAAGGAAGAGAGACATATTTCATTCTCTGACAGGATGACAGCTGCCGTAACTCATCAGATGCAAATGTCCTGACCTGACATGAATCTGTGAGAAAAAATAAAGCGTTATTATCGTCAAAAACAACAAGACTGATACTTGATTCAACAAATAGCATCAAACAACCTTTAGCATGTAAGAAATACATTTGGGTTGTTCCTTTATGTCTCTCTTTAATGTGTAAATAATTACTTTTACTGTGTCATTGCAAGCATTTTTCTAAACAATATCAAAAATGCCTTATTTTATTTTTAAATGCATTTTTCTCCAACTTCTGTTGCTTCATTAACAAATATATATTTTTTTTGTTATAAACAAATATAGAAAAATAAAAGCTTGTAAAAGTGGCATTTTTAAATACTATACTGACAAAATAAAAAATAGGGGTAAATGACATAAAAGGGAAATTCTATTACAAACACAAATTAACATTGAACAACTACATAAATTAACATTGACCTAAACTACCTTATATGAATACTGTAAATAGCTTTTGTTCACTGTTAGTTTATAATAGTTAATGTAATGTTAACAAACTGAACCTTAATGTAAAGTATTGCCTAATATTTATTCATTTAGCTTGAGATGTCAAATACATTGTACTTGGTCTCATAGAATATTTAAACTCTTCCTAAGTATCAAACAACTAATCATAAGCATCAAAACTTGCTGTCATCTCCTGCAAGATGAGACAGTTGTTGAATCTCTACACACATTATCGACATACAGGAAGCTACAGAATCAAGTTTGTCCAGCAAACACACACACACGCAGTGTTGAAAGTATAGAAGAGGGAGTTTGACAGGTTTGTTTTCTGTCCCATGGGCCTCCTGGTACAAACTATCTGTAGAGTTACATCAATACCTCACATCTGTTCTGCTCACAGAAAAGCTCTTCAGATGTGTGTCATCAACGGCCGTCTTTCTTTTCATCTAGCTGAAAATACATCCACAAACCAGCCTCTGTGTCGTTACATTTCTGTCCACGTCCCTAAAGCAAACAAGCCTTCAATAACCATTATGCAACAGAAGCGTTTATGTACTGAGAGTAACTATATACGACACGCGCCTGGATCAGACAAACAGCCTGAACGCTGGGACAGCTGGTCAGACTGATGACTATTCATCACACACAGGACAGTCAAACAAGTGAAAGTCAAACAGAAGACACAAGACTGCTCTCTGGTAAAATCTGTTCCCACACGATTTGACCAATGCATTTCCAGCCCTCTAAAATGAATACATTAAAGGCCAAAATATCTCTATTAACACGATAAAATATGAAAAAGTGGTGTGAAGAGGAGAATATTATGTGAACATTTGTTTAATTCTAAAAAATTGTGCCAAAAAGAGGCACCAGTGAGTGCTGTCGTTGTGCTTTATGTTACGGGTCTGTTGAAAGCTTGATTCTGATTGGTTGACAAACATTCTAAGGTGAGCAATTATTTTCCAGTAAACACATAGCTAAAGTAGTTCCAGCCAGGTCTTGACCGCATTACAGTTCCATATCATGTCGCCAACTGATTTCAGTTATTTCAAAGGTCTTTACAGCCTACAACAACAAAAGAACAAAAAACTGACAATGAAACTGTCCAAGCCAATAAATAGAACAAACAATATGATAAAAATGCAAACTATTTTCACCCCAAAATTGCATTTCATTATCAATGGAAAGCACACTCCCTTTCTCCCGTTCTCTCTTCCATATAGATGCACACTTAATGTCGAGGTAGTGACTTGGCTGTTTTTGAAGCAGTTAAACTTACAGCTTTGCAATTAGTAGAGACTCTGCTCCCTAACACTGTTGAGAGACACTATCAATCACTCTCCATTAGTCTGCTTATCAATGGCTCAAGCCTCTGTTACTATTTCTAAAATGACATTTTGGAATTCAGCATCGGAGGCTTGTGATGAAATGCGTAAGAAATTAGTCCTACACACAAGAGCGTTTTAAGGACAAAAACCTGACAAATGTCTTGAAATAAAACATCTGAACAATGTCTTGAGGCATGGTAATATTAGTATAAGCAGATTAATTGACTCCGGGTCATTTAATTATTAGAAAAATAATGCACACATCAATTATTCTTTAGGCATGACAGATCTTGTTTCGGAGAGATAAAAATCATCGGAATGCATTCCCCATTTAACAGCTACAAATGAAACTTCATCAGCATAAAAGATCATCTTCAGTAGATCTCTATCTCGCACACATACACAATCTCATGGGCAAGGCGGCAGGAGGATTTGACGTGCTGCCCTGTAACCATTACCACTGTTTTAACTGAGTGAAGAGATATAAAAGACTTTAGATGTGATGATAAAGTCAGTTTGCAGCATCAGACACGTGCTGCTTCAACCCAACATGTGGACATCAGTATATCCCCGGGAGACTTTCCTTTAAATAAAAACTCTCGCTGGATATTTATACTGCATGACAGATGCTTTAAGAGCTTCTGAAGAACTGTGGTCTCACATTGTGCATGCTGGTTATGAAAACTTGTGAAAAAAGGTATGGTTATGAAAAAAAAAAAAATATATATATATATATATATACACAGCATTCTTTGAAAAGGATAGCTTGAATTGATCAAAGAAAATACATCAAATATACCAATGGTAACGGGATGCTACAACTGAACTTTAAATCAGACATGTTATTAAAGTGATAAAACACAATACTCTCATACTTCACGTGACAAGAAAGCTGTAGGAGAACTTAATGGTAAAAAAAAAAAATGCATAAAAAATGTGCTTTATTTTATAATCACCAGCAAAATCATGGCAAACACCTTAAGATATGTGCCCATTATATATCATTACCTGCCAGGCAATCAAATCCTTCAGCCTTTCAATCTTCTCCTGGTCAATGAGATGTTCCTGGGTGTATTTCTCAGTGAAAAAGGCCTATCGATGATAAAACAATAACTATAAGTATAAACAAACAAACAAACAAAACAAAATAACCCACCTAAAACCCATTAACTACTGTTCAAAATTTCAGTTCTGTTTACAATGAAGTTCAAATAAACGCAGTTCTTTTAGAATCCTGATAAAAATATATCATGGTTTCCAAAAAAATATGAAGCAGCACAACTACTTTTTAACATGGATAATAATCAGAAATGTTTCTTGAGCAGCAAATCATCATATTAGGATGATTTCTGAAGGATCATGTGACACTGAAGACTGGAGTAATGATGCTGAAAATTCAGCTTTGATCACAGGAATAAATTACATTTTAAAATAGAAAACACTTATTTTAAACTGTAAATAATATTTCACAATATTGCCGAATTTACTGATCCCAAAAATGGCAGTGTACAATATGAAATGGTTAAAATAGTTTTCACAATCAAGTTGATTCACTGTGTTTAATCTTTGTGCCGTCACACAATTTGGCAATAATTACCAGAATAATCTCATACCTTCTCATAATTAGTAAAGCCGCCCATGACAGCTGGGTCCACGATGCCGTTGAGGAGCAGAGAGAGGGGGTTGATGGGAAGGCTGGGGTCGTTAAGGTGGCGCTGGACCATGTTGCTGATTTTCTCATTGGTCAGTTGCATGGTCTCCATAGCATTTTCAAGGGGACTGATTTCCTCCTGCAGACAGAAACAAAAAATATAATTTTCAGAGAATATGTAACAACAAAGGATGATTTACAAAAAACTACTTGACTAAAAAATGACACTAAACAGGCAGAACGAATTTACACAAATGCCAAGGAGAAAACATTCACTAGGCAGAGCAGCAAACGATGACTCCAGCTTTAACCAGCTGTATAACACATTATTGTTGCGCAACAACCAAAGTTGAAATCCAACAAACAAACTCTACTAATGAGCAGTGAAACAACACGAGCAGGTTTTCAAGTCAAATTATGCCTCACATTCCACACTGAACTGTTTACCGATGCACTAATGAATGGGTTAACACGTTCTCTTCGGCAATAAAGGAATTTCTGGCTCCAGATCCGTCACCCATAATGCATCTGTGACAGGATCCAAAATCAATCTGCGAGAGACAGATGCTCTGATGTGTCTATCTCGGGAAACTCGTGCCAGGGAGGCTAATGAGAACGAAAGCACACGTGAAGCGCCAGAAAAAAAGTGTGCGGTGAGACGGTGAGAAGAAGAGCTAAAAAGAGAGTGCAAATTTGAACGGATAAACACCAGGGCATCCAATCTGGGTATCACATGATGCCAGAGCCGCTCTCCTGCCAGGCACTATACTGCAAAATATTTGCATGGAGCGAGTCAGCACACGTAACCATGATTCCCCCAGCGCTGGACAAATTGAGGACGACCTCATCAGAATAGCATGATGGAAAGAGAGAGAGAGACAGGTCACGTCTTGCTGTAATGGAGAGTGGTGAGTGTGAGACACGTCTACTTTATCATATTGTTGACTGATGAGGCCCAGATTGATAAATCACAAGACATGATGTGAGGTCTTTCATACTCGAATATGGTGAGAGTAAGACAGGTAAGGTCTACTTTGGAATATATTGTACAGGTATATGTTATGCAAGAGCGCAGTGAGAGTGAGACAGGTCAAATATACTGTATCAGAGTTCATTCAAGGTGAAGTGAGACAGGCACCTTTTCTTTCAAACCATCAAAACCCAAGCAGCGGTGATATAATGAAACACTGGATGCTAAACCTGGCGTACTCACCGGTGAGGCAGACACGACTTCAAACCAGCGCAGGATGCCAGGCAGCTTATAGGCGGTTACGTAAGTCGTTCTTTCAATCCACATGTTCTTTTGAAAAAAAAA